AAAATGGGGAGGCCTCCAAAATCGACGGAGAGTTTTTTCATTGGCCCATTTCAACATATAAAATATATAAACTTGAATTAAAATTCCGTCTTTTTTAAAATTAAAAGGCCTCCAAAACCGACAAAGAGTTTTTTCATTGACCACTTTAACATGCGTCTTTCAAATACAACATCATATAAAACTTAACAAAAACACCATATAAAATAATACTTGATAATCCGAAAATAATGACCAACTCATAACAATACATTTCACTAAAAATAATCTTATAAAATCCAAGCCGTTGATTCTAACAAAACATCACAACATTATGAACAAAGTCAAACAAACCAAACAAGTATATATCAAATTGGAAAACAAAAATACCAAATAATTGTAATGTTTTAAGAAAACTAGAACAAATAAAACTATTGATAAAAAATAGCATAAAACTAAATCAAGAAGTAAAAACAATTTGCTTATCTGGAAACTAAACGACACTTTTGATGAAAGAACATATTAACAGGGCAAAAGTTCAATATTAATACCAAGTACTACAATGTGAAGGTTAGATAATATAATAAAATACTGAGCTAAATAAATGTGAGAACAATTACAAATAAAGTAAATAACAGCAAGAGCAATTGTTTTTTTATAATTTTATTAAAAAGTAGATAGATAAAAAAAATTAAACACAAAGTTTAAAGTTATACTTAATAACCAAAGGTAATCAGAAATAAAGAAAGAAATAGTGAACCTTGTCGGAGATGAAATTGTTGGTTCGTATGGATTTGAAGTTGGATAAGACGAGTTCGCCACTGCCGTCAACAGTTAGACCTTTCAGATGGTTCATTCTTGCCTCCCACAATTTTCCGTCAACATGTCCAGAGTATCCATCGGCTGATCCAGCCACCAACCAGACATAATCTCCACAGAATAAGGCTCAATCCCAAGTTTGCTTCCATCAAACACAGTCTCCACACTGTATCCACTCTCAAATTTCATCATTGGACGCCCAGAAATCACTGTTTTAGTATTAGCTTTGAGGGACCAAACCCATTTCATCAGCTTTGTAATAGCATTTGAAACAACCCCATTTAAAATCTTTGCAGGTGAAGGTGTAGCAGGAACAGAACAGAAAGCAGCAGAAAGAAACACAAAAATGAGTATCGAAGTTGAAAACTTTACAGCCATTGTTCAGTAAAATGCAAGAAAATGGTGAGGGGGCTGCCGGGGGAGGAAGAGAGGAGAGGGGCCTGCTGGGGGGAAGAAAAGAGAGTGAGAGGCGGTTGAGAGAGGGAAAAAAGGAGAGGGAAGGGAGAGGAGTGAGGCAGCTGAGAGAGAGGGAAGAAAGGGGAGAAGGGAACGGAGGAGGGTGAAAGAGGAAGCGAAGAGGAAAGGAAAAGGGGCGAAGCGGGAGAGGAAGAGGGTGACGCTGGAGCTGCTGCTTCTTGCCCGAAAAATGGAGAGGAGAAAGAAAGTGGGGGGTGCTGGCGGCTCTTGGAGAGGGAGAGGAAGAGAAGAGGGAGGGGAGGTGGATGGTCGGAGGGGGAAGGGGAGAGAAGAGGGAGGGGGGAGGCGGCTAAGGGAGGAAGAGAGGAGAGGGTTTTCTATTATTTTTTTTCTGAAAATTAATTCTCCCTCCTTTTTGACCTAGTTAATAACCTAAACAAAAAACACAAAATGGGCTCAAATGACGGACTTAGCATTGTGGCCCCAAATTACGAATTTTTAAAAATGTTAGGCCAAAATTGGGTATCAACAGCTGTCCCTTTCGTTGTGTATGATTGATGAAAGAAATTGTGGACAACGAAAATTGACAAACCCAATTTTGACTGAACACATGACCTTTGTAGAGAAGTGCGGTTGCATGTGGTGGAAGTCAATTCCAAACCTGTCTCCAAAAGGTTCTACGATGCGTTGCGTCCTTGTTGAAGTAGTTTGCACCTGTTTTTTTCTTTTTTTGTTTTTTGATTTTTTTGATTGATTTTTTTTTTGAAGAAACTTTTTTTTGTTTTTTTTTTGAAGAAATTCATCCTTTCGAATGCTCTTGACAAAGACCAAGATAAAACTCGTCATCTTAAAAATGCAATTTAAATGGGAGACAGTGTCTTTCACGTGTCGACACTTAATTTCTCTAATCGACATTTAACGTCAGTTGACGTTGAGGAATAGATATTTCCTTTGAGATGCACGATTCTTTTTCTGGCAGTGCATGATTGCTTGCAGGGCATGAATATCTTCCTGCAATGCGCAAATTTTGCGAAGGATGGAATCTTCTCGCGACGCATAAAATTTTGCGAGGGATGAGATCTTCTCGCAATGCAAAAAATTTTACGACGGATGAAATCTTCTTGCGATGCATAAATTTCGCAAGGTATGAAATCTTCTTGCGATATGTAAACTTTTGCGAGGAATTGAATCTTCTCGCGATGCAAAAAATTTTGCGAGGGATGAAATCTTCTCGCGATGCATAAATTCCGCAAGGTTTGAAACCTTCTTGAGATATGTAAACTTTTGCGAGGATTTGAATCTTCTCACGATGTATAAAATTTTGCGAGGGATGAAATTTTCTCGCGATGCATAAATTCCACAAGGTATGAAATCTTCTTGCGATATGTAAACTTTTGCGAGGAATTGAATCTTCTCGCGATGCATAAAATTTTGCGAGGGATGAAATCTTCTCGCGATGCATAAATTTCGCAAGGTATGAAATCTTCTTGCGACATGTAAACCTTTGCGAGGGATTGAATCTTCTCGCGATGCATAAAATTAACTCACTATGCATGAATTCCACAAGGTATGAAATCTTCTTGCGATATGTAAACTTTTGCGAGGAATTGAATCTTCTCGCGATGCATAAAATTTTGCGAGGGATGAAATCTTCTCGCGATGCATAAATTCCGCAAGGTTTGAAACCTTCTTGCGATATGTAAACTTTTGCGAGGATTTGAATCTTCTCACGATGCATAAAATTTTGCGAGGAATGAAATCTTCTCGCGATGCATAAATTCCGCAAGGTATGAAATCTTCTTGCGATATGTAAACTTTTGCGAGGAATTGAATCTTCTCGCGATGCATAAAATTTTGCGAGGGATGAAATCTTCTCGCGATGCATAAATTTCGCAAGGTATGAAATCTTCTTGCGATATGTAAACCTTTGCGAGGGATTGAATCTTCTCGCGATGCATAAAATTAACTCCCTATGCATGAATTCCACAAGGTATGAAATCTTCTTGCGATATGTAAACTTTTGCGAGGAATTGAATCTTCTCGCGATGCATAAAAAAATTTAACTTGCGATGCATGAATATTAATCCGCGATGCATGAATATTAAGTCATAATGAATGAATATTAATTAATGATGCATGAATTGACACGCAATGCATGATCTTCTGCGGGGCATGAATATCTTTCTGCAATACATAAATTCCACAAGGTATGAAATCTTCTTGCGATGCTTACATTACTGCGAGACATGAAATCTTCTCGTGATGCATGAATTTTCTACGAGGTATGAAATCTTCTCGCGATGCATGGATATTAACTCGTGATGCATGAATATTAATTGGCGTTGCATGAATATTAACTCTCGATGCATGAATATTAACTCTCGATGCATGAATTGACTCTCGATGCATGAATATTAACTCTCGATGCATGAATTGACTCTCGATGCATGATCTTCTGCGGGGCATGAATATCTTTCCGCAATGGATAAATTTCGCAAGGTATGAAATCTTCTTGGGCGATGCATACATTTCTGCGAGGTACGAAATCTTCTCGCGATGCATGAATTTTCTGCGAGGTATGAAATCTTCTCGCGACGCATGAATTTTCTGCGAGGTATGAAATCTTCTTGCGACGCATGAACATTAACTAGTGATGCATGAATTCCGCAAGGTATGAAATCTTCTTGCGATGCATACATTTCTGCGATGTAGGAAATCTTCTCGCGATGCAAGAATTTTCTGCGAGGTATGAACTTATAAACCAAACCAAACCAATATAACTCGGGTTTTCCAACTTCGGTTTTTTCAATAAAGTATTCATACAAACATATAATTTACTTGTATTTTAAATATTTCTTTAGTCCTATCAAAATACTACTATCTAAGTTATTTCTCAAAAAAATAATAAAAAATATGATATGATTAATGACACTAAAAATATCCAACAAAAAATTAATAATAAAATCGCTTAAAACAAATATTGCAAATTAATAAGTCATAATGTAATTGATCATAATTTAAAGTACTAAATCATGCTAAAATAAGTTTAGTAAGCATTAGTTACATGACTAAATATTTAAAGAAAGTAAAATTAGAGCATGCATTTCAATTTCTAAATCCATGTAAAACTTAAAAAAATATTCAATATTATTTGTCATTCTTAGTGTTGAATTGATTTTCTTTTTGCATTAGTATTAATTTGATTTTTATTTAAACTTTATTATAATTACGAACATGTATGTACTATAATATTTATTAGATCATTAAGAAATCTAACTTCCAAATATGAAATAAATATATTAAAAGATAAAAACTATGAAAAAGTATAAGAGATATTTAAAAATTATATAAAAGTAAGTAATTTACATATAAAATAAAATTTTAAAATTATATATATAATGTCGGGTTGGTTTGGTCTCGGGTTAATTTTTTTTAGTTGAAATCAAATTAACCTAAATATTGTCGGGCTTTTTCATCCAACACCAAACCAAACCACTAATAGGATTTTTTTTCGATTTGATTCGATTTTCGGTTCAATTTTGTACACCTCTAATGCATGTTGGAATGCGAGAATTTGTTAAAAGGTCAAACATGTGAGCTATGTCCATAAAAGATAAAAATATCTTTCTTATATATGATTTCTCGTAGAGCATTTAAAATGAAAAGTGGACAAGTAATATGAGACAGAGGGAGAGTATATAATGGGGAATATAGGATCAAGGGGGACAGGGGTGTCATTTGGCACTGACGTTGATTCATTTCTTTACTAAACTAGATAGGCACGGCCCGTTAAATTGATCTATTTGAATGATTTGCATAGTTATTTGATTACATATTTACAGATATATTGATGCAAAGATATGTCCAAATAAATATAAGATCTCAAACTCTCTCACTTGTTGAAGCACAAGATTTATTTTCACGGCTAATAGTCTCAAAAGCTCCTGTCCATAATTTTTCTACAATACACGAGGATCATGTTGTATCATTGTTTGCATTTTTTTAAAATAAATAAATTTATACGACTTTTCGCCGTGTAAAATTTTCATATATGTCGTAACCAACATTCTTTAGACTTGTATTTTTGAAAATTCCTCTGCATCCTAGCATATAGAGTAGATCTTATTTTTACTTGGTAGGTGTGAAGCATTGTACTGATCCTAGCAGAGGTATGTGGTGCATGAAACACTACATTGGCTGCTGGAAATAGCTTGTTTATCTTTATCGGTATCTTATACACCAAAAACTTGCATTTATATGAATCTGTTCTTTATTCAGTATGTTAAGTTCAAATCCTCTACTCGCTGCAAAACCAAACAAAAAACAGCTTGAAAAGTGACAGAAGGAATTGCACAATTTGATGAAAGTTGATGCCTCATCTCACCATTATTATAAACATTTCTCGGAATAAGATGAGGCTTCTCTGTTGTGTTTTTTAAGAACTCAATTTTTCAGCACATCTGCACCCAATGTACCGACAAAAAATAGTGTTATTACTTCTATTGTCACCAGAATAATACAAGTGTGCCTATGGTATAATTTCAACTTTAAAACAATTGAAATTTAACAAGTAAGAAAGAGTGGTGGACCAAACTTGGAATACATATAGTAGTCTTTAGCAGCATAAATCAATCAATAAATGTCTGGTGGTTGATATTAATCTATGAAATCCTCGATAAAACTGCGTAACAATCTTTTCAAATAATTGTTGCCTATGGAAAAATGATCTTCTGCCTAACTCAATGCACACAAGCTAGCTCATGAGGTGAGAATTGACCATTAAGGAGAAAACCATAAACTAAGAAGGACAACATTTCTTCATCAAATTCAACATAAGGGCCAAGATATCAAGTCGGTGAAACAGTTGAGGTGCATGCAAGCTTATAAAAAAAACTCATAAAAGAGCATAGTTTCCTTATTAGGCAAAAAAGAGAAGAGAAGACTCACATGAACTTAGTTCTCGTGGAAGCATGAGGCCTCTGCAAAGTACTCATAAACAGTTAAGGAGAGGTCAGAGCATTCTCATATCAAACCAGCAAAAAATAGAATGCAGCTGATGACAAGAGAAGAGGAAGAGAGAGCAGAGGTGTGGAGATGGCCGTGTTTGAAGTTGCCCTGAAATTCAATGTATCAACAGGTAAGCACACGCATTGACAAAGAGGTGTGTGCTTCTTCACCTTGTACCAAAGAATATTCGTAAGTTCCTAATATTTCTTTATATTTTTTGCGCCGATTGAATTTCATTTCAGTATTTTACAGATATGGAAGTTTGTTCTTTTGCTCTGAACATGTCATCTGCATACAGGCAGCCAAGAAATTGCACATGCAAATAAGACATTTATGCATGAACGAAAATGCTCGATTGAAAGCTACTACAATCTGGTCTAATTTGGTTTTTCTGTGGCGCCTTATAAAGTTAGTAACAGCTATTCCATTAACAGAGTGAAAATGACCTAAATTTTTTTTTTTTAGCAACATTGATTCATGATCGGAGTTCAAGCAAGTTAAAGCAACTTTATCATTGGATGTTCTGATACAAAAAGCTACTTTTATCGTAGAACCTTCAATGGAATTTTGTATACACTTATAATTTAAGTAAAATGATCACCACCTTTAATAGCTCAAAAATGAAAGAAGCTAAACCAAAACTTTAAAGCAAAACAAAGAAATCAACACTACAGTGCAACTAAAGTAACCAAATTAAACTTCTAATTTCTGAATGAGAAGTTCCATCACCCTTAATATGCACAAAAGAAATCACATCTAATGAAACTTATCCTCTTACCAACCTGAAATAGGTCATTCTTATTACTACTAGTGAGTACTTTTTTTTTTCTTTAAAACCATTATTAAAATCATTCTTTCAGTATGATTATCTCCAACTCCAAAATCAACCACTTATTTGCCATCAATTTAGCCTATCATCTTAATACAACGATGAAAACCTTCTTGTCTTCTATCATATTGTTTGTGTGAGAGCTAATATCAAGATACAACAAAATGTCAAGTCAAAAAGTTGTAGTCCTCAAGTAAAGAGATACCTATAATATGAAGTATGCAAACACACAAACTAATCGATAAAGAAACTGAAACAAAAGGTCCACTATGCATCTTAATAAAGAAAGTAGAACTTTAAACATATAATCATAGCGATTCTTATTACTGCTCCTTGTCCTCGTCAAGTGATGAAATCATCTTCCAAATTTGGAATTTAACAGTTGAATATCATTCTATTCTTTCTCGTTACCAACAAAAAGAAAACTAAAAATCAATAGATAACTCAAAAGATGTCACAAAACTAATATCAAAATCCTTATATCCTTCTGAAGTTTAATTTAAGTTACTATCATTATAAGATTAGGATTAATCATAAAAAATATGTGGTTATCCTTGTCAAAGTACACCACAAAGTGCTAAAACTTCAAATTAGAGTTTTTTTTTTTTTTTTTTTATCAATCAACACTGTTTCTTCATTTCAATAAGTATCATTTAAGAAACTGTCATTTAAAATTATCTGGTAAAAATATCTATTCGGGTGGTGATTATGTCCAAAAGAAAGAAAAATTACTTTTACTAAGTATCACCGTTGAACATGTAATCACCTATTGTATAGGGAACATGAAGCTAACCTGCGAACATCAGCAGAGAAGTTTCTTATACCACAGAACACCTACAATAGAAAATTCACTTTTTATTGTGGTGCTTGTGTCCAGGTCAATGAACTTTTAACTTTTCAATTTAAGAGGTAAATCACACTTGCCAATTAAATCATATTTTCCAGGATCAATCTTCGACTATGGAGTGCAATCATCCATCATTTCTATCACCCTCAAGTTAAGAATATGTATCAACTTTATAAGCAAGTAAGTAATCTATTCAGTTGGATGAATAAAAATGAAATGTAAGCTTCACTATCTTGTTGCACATTGCAGAGTCTTCCTTTAGTAATAGGTTATCATTCTGTAAATCAATTTATGAAGGTATATCTTTATATACAAGCGACATTATGTGAAAATTTAACTTTTTTGACTTTCATCTAGCTAACAAAGGATCAGAAGTTGGAAGCACACTTTGATTTCCGTCATGATTCAACTTCAGAAAAAAAACAATGTATTAGCCGAATGTTGCAAGAGTCACGTCTTTATGATTCAGCTGCTTTAGCAAGTTGTTGCGATATAAGTAGTTGCTTTCTAGTATTATTTGTACATATCCCGTATGACATAGCATACTTCTATTGGCACGTTATTCTACATTTATGATTCCAGGTTCGTGGAGCACACTGCCTTTATTTGTCAACATTTGTGTTGCATGTAACTTTCAAATTTGTTTACATTATTTTGTCATATGTTTGTATTGTGAAATCAATTAAAAGTCACTATTTGAACTCTAGGATATCAAGAAAAAGAAGTCGCACCAAATCAAACATTTAGGGAAAAAATGTAGATGACTCTAATCCTACGTATAAAACACATTTTAAATAATCTGATCTATCCATAAATTGTACGACTTATGCTCTAGAGTGCAGAACTACAAAAGCTAATGTCAGCAGATTGTATATTAAAAATGTTGTTAATGAGGTGTTGTAGTACCTCTGATGACCATGGCACAATGGTATTTTGTGGTAGTTAAGTAAAGTTTTAGTAGTAGTTCAACCACAATAGAATAAAAAGAGAAGAGAATAAATACGAATCCTTCAAAAATTTCTACGAATTCACTAAGATGCAGGTGATCCAGTGATAGCTAAGTTAATTTTCTAGTAATAGTTCAACCACAACAGAATAAAAAGAGGAGAAAAAACAAGAATCCCTCACAAATTTCTACAAATTCACTAAGATGCATGTGCTCGATCACGTACAGAGCCTTGGTGGTAATAAAAAGTTAAAAATAACCAACTTAGGCCACATGATCACAAGTAACAATACATGTGTATATTATATTAGTTGAAACACAATTCTGATAATCAATTTCTTGTGATTATCCATTTTTTACATAGAAACTGACAGAATGTCAAACATGCTTTGTTTTATGAGGAAATACAGAGCCTAATCTTTTTATTTTATAAGAATTTTTTTTTGAAAGTTACAAATATCAATTACATAAGAGAAATGAAAGGAACTTTAGTGGTAGCAGAAAGCGAAATGAGAAACCAAATTGAAAAGAAATTACAAAAAGGAGGAAGGAGAGAATGAATTGTCTCTTGAAAAAAATTGAGGCAACAGATCGGATGGGATGCATAATCAAAGGAATAGCCATGATTTTGCGAAAGTTATTCAAAAAAGTCTATAGTGAATAACTGTTACACATAAGATAACAAATAGCCTTATTGAAAATCACAAAGCATGCCTAATAAGTAATAACTAACGTAGACTCTGTGTTGATCAGAGAACACTAGAAGGATTTTGGATGCATTTTCAAAAGTTTCTTATAACTTCTTGTTTTCTTTGGAATTTGTTTAATGCAAAATAATTGACCAACATAAATGAAAAATGAGAAAGGAAACCAAAATAAGTGTAGATCTATTAGAATCTCTATTTTAAATTCATTTACCTCCAAAAATGTTGAAATAAATTCAGTAGCTCCAAATATAGCTTCAAAAGATAACTGAGAAAATTGAGATTCAAATAGATTATAAGAAAAAAATAATACAGTGGAAACAAGAAAGGTTCAAAACATGATGGCTCTCGAAGTGGTTACTATACTACTTTACAAAGCTGAACTCTGCACCTTCAACAAACAATATAAACAATTCTATTGAAGGATAAGATTTTGGTTTCAAATCATCAAGTTAAACATCGATGATTTCAGTCCCCCTAGGCCTCGACTGTGAAATTTTCACTTACTTGGCATCATATTGCATTCTTACCTCCATTTTATCATTTATGAACTTTGGAAGAATATGCAAAAGAAATTTACTATAGGTCGTACTCTATTTCACAGATCGAGGTGCTAATTTTCATTTAATGTTTATTGTATGACTTCTGCTATTTTATGTTGTCGTACTACTATCCTTGTAAGCTTGCTCAAAAGAATAGGGTTCAGTAAAAGAGCATAGAGTGGTGAGATAAGACCTATAAGGAGAATGGAGATTGGAACAAAGGATGAAGTTAAAAATAGGATGAACAGACTTGGAAGAAGTGACATAATCAGTGTGCCAAATGGGAGGTTTCATGGCTCTAGTAGACCTTCTTTGTGGAGCTGAAATGGGTGATGAATTAGTGAGAGAAGATGGAGAAGGGAGCTCAGAAGAGGCTGAAGGAGCAGGAGAAGAAACAATAGGAAAAGAGTCAGCTGCATGATAAGAAGAGTCATCTGCAGGATGAGGAAAAGAGTCATCTACAGGATGAGGAAAAGCAGAAAGAGGACTAGGAAATGCAGAAGAATGAGGAGGTGGAAGAGAGGTTAGAAAAGTGTGTTTGGGATGCTGAAAAGGAAAAATGTATTCCTTAAAAAGAACATCTCTACTGACAAAAAAAAGTGTCATTGGCAATGTTATATAGTTTGAACTGTTAAGTTGATCAACTGATCAACAATGGAGAATAGAAGAAGAAAGTACAATGGAGAGAAAAGAAAGCTTTGATTCCTTTCAGCAAGATGATCACACAATACACGTTGTAAAACTGAAAGACTAACTCTAACAGCACTAATCCTTCTAATATATATATCCTTTACATTAAAGAATCAACTAACTACTTTCTAACTAACTCAAAATTGTTAACTAATCACTAATCGACAGCTGTACATTTTGTTAACTGCTCAACATCCTCCCTCAAGCTAGGTGTATGAAAAACATTCTTCATTCCTAGCTTGGTAATTAGATATCTGTGTTGTGCACATGTAAGGCCTTTTGTGAGCAAGTCTGCAGGTTGCTCTGATGTATTCAAATACACTGGTTGAACCAATCCTAACTGAATCTTCTCTCTAATAAAGTGACAGTCAATATCTATGTGTTTAGTTCGTTCATGAAAAACTGGATTGGCTGCTATCTGTATAGCTGACTTACTATCAGTGTGTATAAGCACAGGTAACTCAACTTGCATTCCTAGTTCCTTCAATATTCCAACCAACCATACAATTTCTGCAACTGTTGAAGCCAAGCTTCTGTATTCTGCCTCGGCTGAACTTCTTGAAATGGTGCTTTGTTTCTTGGACTTCCAAGATATTAGTGATTCTCCATAAGTAACTATGTAGCCAGTTATCGACTTCCTATTGTTTGGACATGATGCCCAATCTACATCACAATAGGCCTTCAACTGATTGTCAACAGCACTTGTCATGAAAATTCCTAGACCTGGTGACTGTTTTATGTACCTAACCACTCTCATTGCTGCATCCATATGAGATGTTTTTGGACTATGCATAAATTGACTTAGAAGTTGCACTGAAAATGCAATGTCTGGTCTTGTTATGGTAAGATAAAGCAATCTTCCAATCAATTTCTGATACACTCCAGGATCCTTCAATAATTTGTCATGCTTATCAGCAGGGGAAAAATGTAGATCAAATTCTGTAGTTGTCAACCTTTTATTCAACTCAATAGGTGCTCCAAAAGGTTTCAAACTTGACAATCCCATGTCTGAGATTAGCTCAAGACAATATTTCCTCTGATGCATAAGGATTCCAGTACTGTTTCTGGCAAATTCAATCCCTAGGAAGTATCTCAATTCTCCTAAATCCTTGATTTTGAAGCTGTCTTTGAGGATTCCTTTTGTCTCTAAAATCATCTTGTGATCATTACCTTTGATTAGGAGATCATCAACATAAACTAGTAACACCACCAAACTGTCTCCTTGATGCTTTGTGAATAAAGAGTAATCATGATGACTCTGTCTAAATCCTGAGTTGATCAATGTTGTAGTCAATTTTATATTCCATTGCCTGCTGGCTTGTTTAAGTCCATAAAGTGACTTTGTGAGCCTGCACACTAACCCCTGCTCACTTGTATGGACACAACCCAAAGGCAATCCCATATAAACCTCCTCATTCAAATCACCTTGAAGAAATGCATTGAAAACATCCATTTGATGAATGTGCCACTGCTTTGCAGCAGCTAAGGCTATGACAGTCCTCACAGTCACCATCTTCACAACAGGTGAGAAAGTCTCTTGATAATCCAGACCTTCCTTTTGATTATAGCCCTTGGCTACCAATCGAGCTTTAAATCTATCAATGTCTCCATCAGCCTTATATTTGATCTTGTATACCCATTTGCATCCTATTGCTTTCTTGTCCTTAGGTAACTTAGTGATCTCCCATGTGTGATTGTCCTCCAAGGCCTGTATCTCAAGTCTCATGGCTTCAATCCATCTAGGATCATGAACTGCTTCTTGATAAGATGTAGGTTCCCTTTCTTGAGAAAACTTACTGATAAAACTCTTGTAGGATGGTGTAATGCTACAATAATCCATGACATCTTCAATCGGATACAAACACTGTCCAGCTTTACTATTTTTTGATAGAATGTAGTCTGCATGCCATATAGGAGGCTTGCTTGTTCTGTGTGATTTTCTGATGTTAACATCATCAGATTGTGGTATCTGTGGAATAACTTCATCTTCAGACCTATTATCTGAGGCTTCAGAGATAAGATGTTGAGGTAACTCAGTCTCATGCATGTCATCCCTTAAAATAACACAAGGTGTGAATCATCATTATTTGAGTATGACAATATAATGTCTGAATCATCTGCTTGTCCAAGACTTGATGACTGAAAAGGAAACTCTTGTTCATAAAAAACAACATCCCTGCTGACAAAAAATGTCTGTGATGCAATGTCTAACAGTTTATATCCCTTCTAATTCACAGCATATCCCATCAACACAGCTCTTCTAGCTCTAGGCTCAAACTTATCACCTTTATCCAAGTTTGTAGCAAATCCAAGACATCCTATCACTCTGAGATGTGATAATAATGGTTGTCGATTGTACATTATCTCAAATGGTGTTTTATCTTTCAGTGCAGACAAAGGAATCCTGTTGATAATGTATGTAGCAGCTTCTATACATACCCCCCAGAATCTGTTTGGCAAGTAACCTTGAAGCTTAATGGCCCTTGCTGTTTCCAATAGGTGCCTGTGTTTTCTTTCTGCAACTCCATTTTGTTGAGGAGTATGTGGACAATATCTTTGATGAACAATGCCATGTGACATAAACAGATCATAACAAGTAGCATTCATAAACTCACCTCCATTATCAGATCTAAACACTTTAACACACTTGCCAAACTGATTTCTTATCATTATCAAGAAATGTTTCAGAACAACAACTACATCAGACTTCAATCTTATCAAGAAAGTCCATGTCCATCTAGACTTGTCATCAACTAGTGTGAGAAAATATTTCATTCCATCATGAGTAACATCCATATGTATCAAATCAAAAACAACATTTACATTGGTACTACTATTTGGAAAAGGCATCCTTGTTTGTCTAGCTTGTGGACAAATATGACAATGATCAATAGTAAAATTACTATTAGTGTTGAACTCTTTAATCTTCCTAAGCACTTTCATTGGAACATGTCCCAATCTTCTTTGCCAAAGTGCTGGATCTCCAGCTCCCTCTTTTATTGCAGACATTATGAGAGAGTTGTTTCCTTGTGGTGTCTCATTCCAGTTCCAGTGCATCACATACAAACCTTCTTCCACTTTACCAATCCCCTTGACCTTCCCAGATGAGAGGTCCTGAAAAATGCAATGTGTAGGAAAGAAAGAAACACAACAGTTTAATTCCCTTGTCAGCTTGTTCACAGACAACAGATTAAACCTGAAGGTTGGTATACACAAAACATTACTGATCACTTCAGTAGCATTCAATTGTAAACTTCCAATGTGGGATACAGTAGCTGATTCTCCTGTGGGTAATTGTACCTGCCCTGTGCTATGTATTGTGTGTTTATTATGTAAAAATGTATGATTATTGATCATATGATTTGATGCTCCAGTATCTATAATCCACTTCAAACAACAATTGGGATTACCTGCCAGATTAACACAGCTTTGAGGATTCAAGAACTCCTTATTGCCTTGCAAGATTCCAAGCATTTGTTGAAACTGTGTAGGTGTTGCCTTGTGTATTAGCTTCCCTAGCTGGTTAGGTATATCACCATAACTTTCTTCATGTCCTTGCAATGCTCTATCCATGTGAACCTTCTCATCATGTAGTCGTGAATTCATAGCACTCTTTCCTGCATTATCCAATGCTTCTTGCAGCTGTACTCCTCCTGCATTGACAGAGTTAACCTTCTTCCTTCCTTTGAAATTTTCTGGATAACCAATCAACAAGTAGCAATTGTCTTTCACATGCCCAGTTGCATGACAATTATCACATTTCTTTAGCTTATTGCAGTTAGCCCTATCATGACCTTTCATGTTACAATAATCACAATATAGTGTGTGGTAACCTTTCTTTGAATTCTGAGATTGTCTATTATTCCTGGCAGTATACATAGCTAAGGATTCAATTCCTTCACTGATATTGCCTGCAATTCCTCTTTGACTTTCATCCTGGATCACTAGAGCATATGCTTGATTAACATTTGGTAAATTGTTCATCATTAGAATTTGACCTCTAGCTGATGAATAGCCATCGTTCAACCCCATCAAAAACTGCAACAATCGTTGATACTGTAATTGCTCAACATACTCCTTAGATTTGTTACAATCACAACTTGGTGGAGGCAAAATCGAATCATATTCATCCCATAGATTCTTTAATTTTGTGTAATAAGCAGAGACACTCAATACTCCCTGTGTTAGAGTGAATATGTTCCTATGCAATTGATACAGTCTCGATCCATTTATCTTGTCAAATCTCTCCTTGAGGTCAAGCCATACCTGATGTGCACTAGGCGAGTACAAGATGCCACTAAGCAACTCCTTACTGACATTGCAGGTAAGCCAAGAGATAACAATGGCATTGCATCGATCCCAAATTTTTTTCAAATTCCCTTCGAAATTAGTACGTAAAACAGATCCATCTATAAAGCCTATCTTGTTTCGTCCAAGTAATGCGATCTCCATAGCTCTGCTCCACAGTGTATAGTTCTCCATTCCTGTCAATTGAATTCCCACAGATAGAGCTCCAGGTACATCTGAAGAGCTCAAATATAGTGGATGATTGTGATCAATCACCACCAAATTCCCAGCAGTTTCACCTTGTGTTCTGCTGCTTGTTCCTCCCAGTGAATCATCATCGATCGCCATGGATCAAATCCAACTGAGTCCTTCGTAAATCCAAAAAAAAATTTGTAGAAGATGAAGACCAGTTCACAGCTTCTAGACTCTTCCTCCTCCTGCTCTGATACCATGTTAAGTTGATCAACTGATCAACAATGGAGAATAGAAGAAGAAAGTAAGGAAGATCAACAATGGAGAGAAAAGAAAGCTTTGATTCCTTTCAGCAAGATGATCACACAATACACGTTGTAAAACTGAAAGACTTAACTCTAACATCACTAATCCTTCTAATATATATATCCTTTACATTAAAGAATCAACTAACTACTTTCTAACTAACTCAAAATTGTTAACTAATCACTAATCGACAGTTGTACATTTTGTTAACTGCTCAACATGAACCCTTTTGTGTGTCTGAGTAGCCCATGAAAATGGAAGGAATGACTTTAGGTAAAAAAAAATTTCAATGACATCTAGTGTAGCAACATAACGTAAATACCCAAACACTCTCACATGATGCAGATTAGGAGGGTGTTTATGAAGGATTTCATAAGGTGACTTTCCGTTGAGGACAGTGGAGCGCAAT